TTTTCACATTTTTTACATGCTTTAATTAATCAAATCTTAAACTTGTTGACCTAAATTAAACTTGTTAAACAATCACCGTTTCCCCCGAATTGGTGTGGGCTATTTATGCATCGGAACCATCATCATGAATTTTATCACGTTATTTTATTTTCGCTTTTCGTCCGTGTGATAGGTAACTCGATTATAGGTCCTCGGATGCTATCATCTCTCTATACATCTAAATAATCAAAGCAAATTCTTTAGTACACAACAAAGAAATGAAAGTATATAACCCAATCGTATGTAAGATTCCTTTAAGGAAAGACTGCTTCTGGATTTAGCAATAAACCACACACTGACAAACAATACCCAATCGTCGTCTTACATCAATCAAACACACACAGTAACTAAAAGAAACCTTAACGCTGTTAGAAAACACTCCTTTTTGCATCCAAATGGAGATTTGTCCCAACTCTCACTCTCTCTCTTTCTTGTTTTAATATAACCAACCAGTAACAACAACTCAGTGTTTGAGTTGTTTTTCGAGCCAACCAACAAACACAAGATAAAGTCAAAACAGAGGCACGAAGCGAAAGCGTTGTTGAAGATGAAAAGTGAAGAGAGAGGACAGAGCAGAGCAACCTTGTTGTTATTAAAAGTGGGAGTGTTGAGAGGTTAGAAACTCTTCTTCTTACTATTGTTATTATCGTAAGGCTGCTATTATTGCGAGAGAAGAGCGTACGAGGGCAAGTCTTCAAGATGCGTTATCTCTTCCAGCATCAGCTCTCTCTCCAGCTGTCTCCTTGTCGATTTCATCACCGTCTGTTTCATCCCATATAATATCATCTCATGTTACCAATTAAACCATATATTATGACCAAACACAATATCTCTGTTATGAATCTCCGTAGCGACAATATATATGGGATTGGTGGTTAGAGGAGCAACTAATACTTACGTTGAACTCCATGTATGAGGCGCGCATTGAAAGCCATTGCTGATCCATTAGCTTGAATGCAATGCAGTAAAGCAGGTCAAAGGCAGATTCGTTCTCTGCTTACACCAAAAACACCCCACACACTTATCTGAATCAGTGTCATAATCCAATTAAAGCACCATGTGTGCAAAAGAAAACAGCATTGTCGAGTTGTGCAAGAGTTTACCAGAAAGGAACTTCAGAAAAGTTGCTCCAACGATTGTTCGAGGTTTCACTGTAAATGTTGAAGGATACTACTGTTAGTTATCTCAATAAGGTAGTTCATGCAAGAGCTTTTCAATAGGAATGGGACTCCAAATCCTATGGCTTGAGGTGTCGATAGTAACTATCACAATCGTGGTAGGTAAGTAAATTTGTGTGGTTGTATACCTGCTTCAAGGTCAAGCATCTGGATGAGCATGAATGTTAAATTGATACCAGCAACTGCAAAGGGGTATTCCCACACAGACCGATCCCCAACTTGCTTCCTCAAAAGGTCCTGGAAGGATTTCTGCAGCATATAGACATGTAGCGTCTTAAACTTAGTTATCAAAATTGTGAAACAAGTCCAGTACATATGATATAAACACCATATGTGATGGTACACATAGATACATATAAATATTGTGCATGGAAAGTGAAACTCATTAAGGAAAACTAATTCATTCTTTTTCTGAAATGTTTGCATATGTAGTATATAGGTTATACCTGAAAGTTTCTGGCGAAGTATAGCAAGTTTTCAAGAGATATGAAACCGCCACCCCTAAAAAATGCTGCACTGTAAGTCAAAGAGGATTTTGGAAGCAAGAAATATAAACATGACACAGATCCGTGGAAAGTTAGTGTTATACCTAAAATCAGTCGACGGATCTTTGCCCTGCCAACCCATCTCTTTCCACTGCTCAGATATTAATCCATGAAGGTCTTCTTCGGGAAAGGCAAGCTTCCACAGTTCCCTCAGAGCTTCCTAAGAGCGTTTGAAGAAGCAACAAAATTAACTATCAAAGCTGGTACATCTAGACTTATGATGTAAAAACATGCAATAATTAACCAAGTGATGAAAAACTGCAGTATTCTACCATCTCCAATTAATGGCTCAAGTCCGTTTGTTTTTTTTACGAGAAATTATAACCCTCAAGTAAAGTGTACCTGATGCGGAGGTATTGTGCTGTCATACGCTACATCGATACGGTTCTGCAAACTCTGCAAGGATTCCTCCTGAAAATTCCAGCAACAGGGTAGAATTTACTAGCTACTTGGATACACTTACAAGTAGCCAACTTCAAACTCAAAAAACAGTGGAAAAAAATGAGTACCTGAGCAGGTGTTAGATCAAACGTAGAATGCGCATCACTATCTCTTCTCTGAGCACAAACACAAGAGAGACCCCGACCTAACCAAGCTGCTGATCCAGGCACAGCCTCAGCTATAACAAAAAATATAAACTTCAATATTTTTGGAGTTTTCAACGGAGGAATACTGGCTTCTTCTTTGAGATACAGAGTAAGCAAAAATCATTTTAGAGTGAAGTTGTAGTTATGATGTTCAGGACATTGTTTTAATGTATCTATAATACATGAATTGCAAGCTACTCTAAATCTCTAGAACTCCTATAAAACCACACAAACAAAAAGGTTTTCGACAATCAAGAAATCTTTGAAACTGAGAAATTTAAACGCAAATTTCTCAATGAAACCGCTAGTATAGAGAGATAAGCTTTGATTCTGAGATACTTAAACGCAAATTTCTCAATGAAACCGCTAGTGTAGAGAGATAAGCTTTGATTCTGAGATACTTAAACGCAAATTTCTCAATGCAACCGCTAGTGTAGAGAGATAAGCTTTGATTCTGAGAGATTTAAACGCAAATTTCTCCATGAAATTTACCAGATGAAGAATTGTAAACGCTTCCTCGTTCGAGACCCTGAGAAATCCGCCTAACTGCTACGAACGAGCCTTCTCTATCATCCATCTCAAATTCGACTTTTCGCACTTCCGATTTACCTCAGAATCACCATTTCTTGTATCATCCTGCGAACAATCAAAAATGCAGAACCAATCAGCAATAGAATTCGGAACTTCTCCAATCAAAATCGAAACAAAAAACCAATCGGAACCTGATCGAATACAAACGCAATGCGAATCACAAAAACAAAAACCAAAAGTAAGAGAAGGATTCAATCACCGTCGAGAACGAGTATCAATCAATCGAATCAAAAAGTCCGATCAGCCTTGAACAGAATCCTCAAGGAAACAC